GGTGGAGGGGAGGTGGAAGGGGAGGGAAGGATGACAGAGCGAAGGAGGGGTGAACGTTCCCCCCCTCCCCATGTTTTCCACCACGGAAAAATTAAATTGCTGATTTAACAATTTCGTTGTTAGAGAAAGTGGCTGCAATGTTTCGATGTAAATTTTACAGCAAAAAAATGCTACTTTAACCACCCCCGTGGTTAGATTAGCTTTCCACTGTTGTAAAATGTGCATTTGAAACATTGCAGTCACTTTTTTTATTAATTGCATTGTTAAATCAGCAATTCATTTTTTCCGTGTTCGTCAGTTTCCCTACTAATAAATATGCATTGATTGATCGATTGATCATCCATGCGAGTCGAGTCGCGGATATTCGGAGCAGGCTCTGTCGTTTCATCAATTTCATTTGTTCCTCCGATTTGAGCGATTATTTATTGAAAATGGGTACCCAGGACCACCCTCGGAAAATTTCAGGAAAATTCAAAGGGGAAATTTGATGCAGTGTTGCCGAATTGCTCCATCATCCATAATTCGCGAGTCGCGTAAATTCGGAGCAGGCTATGTGATCTCATCAATTTCATTTGTTCATCCGACTTAACGAATTATATATTGAGTAAGGACAACCAGGACCATTCTCGGAAAATTTTGAGAAAATCCAAGGGGGTTTCATGCAATGTTGCCGAATTCCATCATCCATATTTCGCGAGTCGCGTATATTCGGAGCAGGCTCTGTCGTTTCATCAATTTCATTTGTTCATCCCCTCTGACACATTAGATATTGACTATGGACACCCAGAATATTCCTCGGAAAATTTCGATAGAATCCAAGGGGAAAATCGCAAGTAATGTTGCCGCATCCATCATCCATGCGAGTCGAGTCGCGTAAATTCGGAGCAGACTCTGTCGTTTCATCAACTTCAGTTGTGCATCCGATTTGGCAGATTACACTGTGCAACAAAAAAAAATGACAAAAATGTCTCCCGGACGAGATAAGGTGATCTTTATGTATTTTGATGCGCTGAATCCGAATATGACCTCCGTTTTTTCCCATCACCCTCCAGTTTTCCGGGAAAGTCGATTTTACCCGGAAAAATGGCCATTTTCGGGCATTTTTGCGACTATTACCCCCTGCAGAATGTAGGTAAAATTTTACTCCGGTACGAGAAACGGCTATTCCGATGTATTTTGAGCCGCTGAGTCCGAAAATGACCTTCATTTTTCCCTGTCACCTCTCAGTTTTCCGGAAAAGCGATTTTTCCCCCGGAAAATGAGCAAATTTGAAGTATATTTGTCATGCATGCAATTTATTTGTATAAATTTTTCTGGACCCGTGGTACTATCATTATTAGGTATTTTAAGCCGCTGAATCCGAATATGACCTCGGTTTTTTTCCATCACCCCCGAATTTTTCGGTAATGTCGATCTTTCAGAACCTAAATTTGTGTATAAGCTTTCCCGGACTCAAAGGGAATCAAAAATATATTTTAAACGTGTCCGCGACGTGCGATACATCGATTCTTATGTATTTGGACTAGCTGAACCCGAATATGATCTTGGATTTTTCCGATCACCCACGATTTTCCTTGGAAAATCAATTTTCCTTGGAAAACTTCCTTTTGTGTTTTTTGGACGATTCACCTGTTGTGAGGAGTCTGAGAAATTTTCTGAGATCCTCTCTAGGTCTCTTCTGTTATATTAAGAGCAGCTGAATTCAAATTTGACCTCTATTCATCTCTGATAACCCCCCGTTTTCTAGAAAGTCCGATTTTTCCGGGGAAAAAGCTTTTCCAAACCGTCCCCACCTCCAGGGAAATTTGAAAATTTTTCCGCATGTGTGATACATCGATTCTTATGTAATTTGAGCTGAAAAACCCGAATATGACCTCAGAAATTCGTTGTCACCCACCTTTTTTACGGAAAACTCGATCTTTTTGGGATGATGATGATTTCTTGTCACATTGTACGTATTACTTACGATAAACTAACGAACATTATATCTTGACATTTTTGCTGGTTATCCTGCATTATCAGAGCCGGATTTAAATTTTTAGCGCCCTAAGCTAAACTTAGGGTGGCGCCCCTAAAAGTAGGCGCTCTCGTGGGGGGGGGGGGGGGGGGNGGGGGGGGGGGGGGGCAGACGCCCCTCCCCTCCAGATCAGAGGGAGGATGTTAAGTGTCAGGAAAATGTTCAAAGTCACCTTTAGAAAAACACGATTTAAAACAGTTTTGAGGTACGTTTACGTTTGCAAGTTGATTTTGGAAAATTGGAAGTAACAGAAGACTTGTTAAATTAAAAAAAAAAAAAAAAAATTCTCTTCACTCACTATTTTATCAGTCCATTCTTTTCGTTGCGCATTTGCCCGAGTAGTAGCTGGAAGCCCGTGTGCTTTTGACACGCGAAGGAAATAAATTTGTTAACCACAACGTAGGCATTTTTTAATAAGTCACGTTTTTTAATAAAGTCTCAAAAATTTTGCACCCCTCAGAATTTTGCGCCCTAGGCTATAGCCTATGTAGCCTATTGGTAAATCGGGCCCTATGCATTATGTGCAGAATATTTGGTAAAATTATGAATAATTCACTGATTTGCATTGAAAGGAAAAAATCAGCTCTTCTTGAAACATTCCGAATGAGGAAAGTGTTTTGCAACTTTCACCATAAAGCCATCTCAGGATGTAAGATTCAGAAAATAGGGAGAAATATAGTGTAGCCTTCAGGAAAAAAATGCGACTATTATTAGTCAATAAATGACTGGAAGAAAGGTAAAACACACATGAAAATGTTTCACTGACCAACATTATTCATGAGAAAAAATGGTGTATGAAAAGAGAGACGTTGATAAATGAACATAATGTAGTAAAAAAAGAGAAAATTTATTTAAGTTCTTGAAAACTAAACAAAAAATCAGTATTTCACTGTCGACTCCCTGACGTAGGTAATGATATTTCAATGGGATACAAGTACAAAATATGGGTTGAACGTACTAAAGAAAGGCTTAAATGAAGTTTGCCGTATTTGCACTGTTAGTCGGAGAACGAGCTTGTGTACGTGAAGGCATGAATAAATCAACGTAAATGAATATTTTAATTAGCAAGTAAACAAAATAACCATCAAATTAAAAAAAAAATATATTGTTTAAAAAAGGCAGTAAGAGAGAAGTAAAACAATTTTGAGCAGCGTCAGTTCCGTCTAAAAGTAATCATTGAGGAACAAAAATAGTTGGCATTTTCTTTCAAGACATGTGTTTTAGGCTGCCTGATTCAAGCATCTGAAAACATGAGAAAAGAAATAATCATCAACTGTCAAGTAAGTGGAATAGCAGAGCAAGTTACGGTTATTAAATTAATAGTCATTCCATCAGACAGGGTTGCCACAAAATTTAGAAAATGAAATTCCCGGACATTTCCCAGACACATTTTGGTGAAATTCCCTGACAAATGAAGATATGGCAAATGGCTAAGAAGACATAATTTGACAAAAATTTGTAGTTCGAAATGTCAAACCCAATATAGAAAGAAAATGAGGAAGATTCAACAAATTTTCCCTGACATTTCCCAGTTTTCCCTGACTTTATAAAATTCCTTGACTGTGGCAACCCTGCCCCTTATGAGGCGTTGCCAAGTTATGTAAACCATAATTCTAAGTTTCAAAATTCATCTTTTCTGGCGTTTATCATTTCATAATTGAGTCATGTCAAGCGAAAGTCTGTAATGTATATTTTTCCAGCTTTTAGTTTTCTTGTGCTCATAATAATTTTCAAGATTTGACACCACCATCAAAGTGTAAAACAAGTAATAATGCCACATTAATCGCTAAATTCAACTCTCGAATGTATTATCAACTCAAAAAACCTCAAGACTGGAAGAATGGACATGAGCAGCCTCTGCATGAAACGATTGAAATTTGTGTAACTCATGATAAGCCAAGAATTAAAAACATCACTGATCAAGAGGACCACGTACCTTGAGATCCAAAAAAGTAATTCTATTTTACCAACGGCTGCCTCACTAAAAGTTTTTTTTTTTCTCTTCCAACAAAGAACATACGCGTCTCTTATGCCATTCACTGTCATCTGCCTACTTCTAGTTGGATGAAGTTTTCTGCATCCACAAGTCCACTGGACAATTAACTGATATACCGGTACGCTCTTTGAAAAAACTCAATAATCTTCCATTAGTTTTATTCCTCCTTCAGCTTTGGCTTCAAAACATCATCTTAGTGGAATGCAAATAGTCTAGGACTTCATTGACGTTTTGAAAACTTGAATTAATTATATCAGGCCAAGGCTTATAACCCTTAAGTAATGGGAGATCTTCGTATTATAATTTGCCATTTTCCCTTCGAAAACTTCTCTTATCTCAATTTCAAGGATATGAAGGTGGAAAAAACATGCATGAAATCTCTCTTCAAAATTTTCTGGAGGATAATACCATCATCATTAAATTTACACAAGTTTCGTACCTAATCCTCATTGGCAACCGTTTTGTCAACACAAGCTCCACATTTCCAATTGAGAAGTTCTCACTTCCGAAAATTTGTATCTGTAGCATCCGTTTCATCTCACCGCATTATTTCGAAACATATCTCAGTTGACGAATACAAAAAGTGTCCTCAGTATCAGAAAATTTAACACAACAAAAATAATAAACAGCTAGGTCATTGAAAAACTTTTAAAGCAGATTTTCTCGGGGAACTTTTTAAATCTTGTCCTCATAGACCATACTTGAGAAGATGGGTAAAAACAAAATTTGTAAAAAAAGCTGATTATCTTGAATGACTAACCTGAAGGAGGAGTAAAATCTTAAGGAAAAACCCTTCACTTCCAAGAATGATTTACTACGTATACAATTTTTAAGTATACTGGCAATAAATTGAAAACTCACCTAGTTATCAGGCTTGTCGCAAGAGCCGCATCCCGTATAATCTACTGCATCTGTGAATGAAAAAAAAAACGTCCAAGTTAACAAATCAGGGAATTTCGTACAGTTCAGTACATAAGTGTGATTTCGAAATCACGAATTTGAAAAACAGTAAACTTCAGTCAATGATTATATTTCACTGTAAACACAACTATATATATCTATCATCATGCTTTTCTAGTCAATGTTTCCGGCTTGTGATAACATAGTGAGCACCTAGTGAGTAGAGTTTGTTTCATTTTGAACCTCAGCATTAAGTACTCGAAAGTAAAAGATTGTATACCGAAAATTTTATTTCGGAGAAAATCCCTAATTGAAGATTGAACACCATGTACTTCCTCCATTACTTAAACTGCCCCTAAACTCTAATTCCTTTGTGACTTGCTGAACCTTTGAAAAGGGGTATGCAAAACAGCAGATGGCTGCTCTGTGCAGGTTTCTAACATATTTTTTTTTCTTAGTTTTTTTTGTTTAAACATGCACAAGTTCTTTTATTGGCAAGAGACTTTCTGCTGCTGAGATGATATGTTCCTTATTACTTAAGTTTTTTGTTCAACATGAATGGTAATTGAGAGGGATGGGTTTGTCACTAAAAACATGTGGCCTTTCTCATTTTAAACAGAAAAATTAGAGTACTGAAGTCTTTGTCCATTAGTTGCCAACGCATGGATGATGCAGGGGTAGAGATGACGACTATACAGTGGATCAGGGTTATATGTTCCCCCATAAACATGAAAACTTTGCAAAATTCGCATTCCATTTTCTCTCTATGATCTTTAGTTCATTTCTATTGTACAGAAACATGTATAAGCTACATTCATTTTATTGGATACGCCATCTTACGAGGATTTAGAAATCTTGTACTCCTGAAAATGGGCTTAATGGCACTAATGCTTGTTTACCAAAAATATCCTTAATAAATTTGTTGTCACTTCTGATATCAAAGTCTCCTCTTTGCTCTTCATTTACCAGCAAAAATGTAATTCTCCCCTGAATTCATTCAAGCAACCATGAGACACTACAGCCTGATTGTTAAAGCTTTATCAGGCTTTGTCGGCAGGCTAACACATGATAATCCTTTATCTGATCGATTTTTTAAGTCTTTTTGTGCTGACATGAGCATCAAAAATCAGGCTACTGGTCGACAGACACTTCGAATTGCCTAAAATTTGTCACTGATTCTAAGTGGGCTTTTCGCAATGATTTTGAAATGGTGCATTTGACAATCACCTACTTCCAATTGGGGAAAGAAAAGAAGACACATATGTTACATCCGAGAATCACACAATTCAACATAAATTTAGATGGTGACAAAATGATAACTGATCCACTCAGGTTGATGCGATAATTGGCACTTCTTTCCTTTCCCCTGTCCTCTATTATTTACTCAGTTCCCAAACAACTGAATTTCCTGTGGTAAACTGCGATTTTTTTTGGAGTACATGCAAAATTTGATTTTTCCAAGCATACCTTGAGGATCCGGAACACCCAGCGTAATTTTCGAGATCAGCCCTAAAAATACACTTAGAAAATTACATTCCTTCTTGTGACGACTTTTTTCTCTTTTTGATACAACCAATGTGAGCTTGGTTCATCTAGAAGATACTCTATCAGAGACTTGCAATGGGCCTGTTGCAAACTTTTGCTAGAGCAAAAATAAGAGTTGTTTCTTATGGATAATGCCTCAAAAATCACGATGAGCGCATCGGCAAAGTCTGATATGCACTCATAACTTCACCATCTGCGTAAGAAATTTGCGTTTTTTTGAGCTTCCCGCTTCAAAAACGATACTACGGCACAGGTGAACATTTTGTTAGAGGAGTCGTCGCTCCATCGTTAGCGATATTCATCATGGCCGACGCTTGCGCGCAGTTCCGCGCGTAATTCGAGGAGAGTTCAAGGTCAATCAATTCGGGCGTGGAAAATATGATCGTTAACTCGCTGATTGTTATCTGGTCTAATCCAGTTCAGGTGTTATATCGTCCCATCACACGTGTTTTGGCGGATTGGCGTCGGCCATGATGAGTATTGCCGACGATGGAACGACTCCTCTTACAAAATGTTCACCTGTGCTGTAGTATCGTTTTTGAAGCGGGAAGCTCAAAAAACCGCAAATTTCTTACGCAGACTGTGAAGTTATGAGTGCATTTCAGACTTTGCCGATGCGCTCATTGTGATTTTTGAGGCATTATCTATAAGAAACAACTCTTATTTTTGCTCTAGCAAAAGTTTACAACAGGCCCATTGGTCTACTGTCCTCTGAAAATTCTGTGTTTCTGGAACCCATCAAAAATTTGGATCTGAACAAATACACGTTGAAATTAATTACTGTGCCCTTCTTTCCTTTATTCATCTGATAAAATAGTGATAAAATGTATTTTTATGGTTGCCAAGTTTCGTTGTGGTAAATACTTTCACTTACCAGTTCTCGATGTGTCTGCGGATGGCGGCTCCTCTTCGGAACTGATTGTTGTTTCTCCTGCAACACGAATTTTCAATAGTGTAATTAAAAGAAGAAACCTTTACTAAAAGAATTACAGTAACCCCTAAAAACAGTAATCCTGTTTAACAACATAACCTCATTTGGTAGGGAGTGTACACTCATGAAAAAGGATTGCCGAAACATACTCAGCTCTTCCTGGACCAACTTTGAAAAAAACTTTGATTTTCCGCTACTTTGAACAACTTTTCTCAGATAAAATTTGATTAGATGAAAAACAAAAAGGGGTGAGATTCCCAAAATACTGATCAATTTTGATAACAAGTTCGAAAACTTAGATAACGGATTTGTTGGAAGTAAAAATTCTTCGTCTCAATTGCCAAACCTAATTCTGGAACCAACGCCTGCTTAAAATTACAATTTTTCTTGTTATTTTTCCTTCCAGAAGACAATGGACAAGATCAATTGGACACAGTCCAATAACAATGACTTAGGAGACTGTGCAAACAATTGAACTTAATTATTAGCTGCAAATCTACTGCATCATTTATTTTTTTTTTCCTCCTATGCATATTTATTTTGAAGGTCAAATATAACCCTATTTTCGGTTTCCTTAAAGAACAGAGTGATTTCTTAATCCTCTGAAAGCACCTGAAGGAGACTAATATTTAACCCCTTCTGAAAATGCTCAAAGGTTCCTTGACAAAAATGCCACAAGATGGAGGAGCTGTCCTGCTTCATTGAACTCATATAAAGAAACTTCACTTCAATTTTCCTCTTGAAGTAATGGTCTGGCAAAACTCCTTGTAGTTTTATAATTAAAATGTTATCCCTGCAACTGCTAAATAGTGTTAATTCTCTGACAGAGGAGTGTTGATTCTACAGTTCCTCTTACGAGAGAATAAATTAAAGACATTCTCTTTTCCCTTTTAGAAAACAGAAGTGCATCATTCCCTAACAGCAACGATGAGGAGGGCACCTGAATTATCAAAGTTCTTCCCCTGTTGCCAACTATGATTGCTTATCGTGACAATTCACGGTGGAAAATGCCACCAATCAAAAAAGTAGACGTTGAACTGTCTTTCTTAAATACCCCTCAAACATGTATCATTGTCTGGTTCTCAGAAAATATCAAGAGAGGGAGAGAAAATGAGGTTCTAAGCTAAGTTATGGCAGCCTTTGTGCTATGGATAGTCTAGATGTATTGAGTCTTTCCTTACCTTCCCTCAAGTACATCATAAACGTTGACAAATTGCCAGCCTCTTTAACTGAAATTTTTCTTTTGAACTGCTATGAATTGGACCTACTACATTCCAACATATGAAAATAGAAATATGAAGTGCACATCCTATTCCACTTGTAATTTTTTTTCGACTGTAACCATTACAACTTTACTTATGCACGAGGATCGTTCCAAATAAAAGTATCTTTTTGCCTTAACTTCTTCACTACTACATGAAATAAAGGTCTGAAAAAAACTCTTCATTGGTCATGATGTCCCCTTTCTTGCAAGGTTTTATTTTTCCTTTAAAATTTGGTTCAGCAGAATGTCAAAAAAGTTGTTTTTATGAAGTCACCTCCAGACCACATGGGTCCAAAATTTCACGCTACCAGTCCGTCCGAAATTTAAACAAGACGTGAGACAAAATGTAACGTTGGACAAGCTTATTAATCCCCTCAGCATACAACTCCTTATAGATGAACGATATTTCTGGGTAACTCCATGATCCGATAAGAAAGCCCCCTAGAACGCTTATGATGCAATTTCACAAAAAGTAGCTGAAATACAACTAATACCACGCTGATGTCCACATTGTGGTGCATCTTTGGTGATCTTATAAAAAAAGAACCTTTAGCTAAGAATTGTGGCTGTCTGATGTTACAAAATCCTGATTGCACTTTGACACCAAGTAGTTGCTGCGCCGATGTACCGACATGGAATTTTAAACCTGTTTGGTGGTGAGGTGGGTTCACAAAAAAACAACTTTTCTGCCATTCTACTGAACAAAATTTAAAATACTATAGCTCGTTAAAAAGCTGACATTATGACCAATAAGCAGTTGCTTACGGATTTTAATTTTATGCAGTAGTGTGGAAGTTTTGGCAAAAAGATACTTACTTTTGGAAGTCTCTTCTATTTAAAATCTGCCCCTTCTTTAATTTTTTGAAAATTACCACTCCTAGACTTCTGGGAGAAGTATAGCGGTTTTGCATTCAAGTTTGTTCTACTATTTCACCTTATTGACCATGAGCCTTGGCCGACTCAGAGAACTGACCCTGATAGTTGCAGGAAAAAGGTGATGAACAAAAATGTTTTAACTGTAAGCAAATCTTTCAACGTCAGACGCCTCAAGTATCCAAATTTTTTCTTTCTAGCATTTACTTTGGATTCACATACCATTCATATTTACTTAGCATTTACATTGAAGGTTTCATTCACCGTTGTAACATTTTTCTTCATCAACTTGTTCCTGCAACAGTTCCACTGTTCCGACCAAGTCTAAATCAACCTTGTGATAAGAAATGTGTTATCTCCGGTGCAAATTTTAATTCCCAACCCTAGCTTCCCCCTCAAGAATGGGAAATATTAATACTGTGAATAATTTCCACAATAATATTAATAAGATGTCTTACCCAGACATCATGGCTCCTGTGGAGGAATCGATGCAGGTGCTGGAGGTGCTGGTTGCAGTGGAGGTTGCTGTGCAGGTTGTGAAGCAATTATTTCGGTGGGTGGTCCTACATGCCCATGGCCCCAGCTTGTCCTCCTCCCACGCATTGGAATGTCTGAAAGAGAGAATCCAATAGTTGATCAAAAGATGAATTTTCATGAATAGTTTGAAACAATAAAAGCACTTTGGACGACCAGAAATAACTTCCCAATACTGCCTATTTTTCCTGCAGTGAACGACTAATACACTTTCATGTTCTTCACGAAGTTGGAGGCAACTGGAAAATTATCTACTTTAAATAACATAACCTTTCAACTAATTATTTACTTGCTTCGGACACTAATTACTATCAGATGATTGTTAATGATGACAACCCAGAATTATCCTCTTCTTCATCAGAATTGGAGGATGTACAGTTCAAACATTTTTTACAACCTTCCTTTTCTAAGAAATCCTCAGAAATATCGTGATCCCAAAGTCAACCACAAATTGGGTACTTCCTTGAAAGAGAATATTTTGAAGGAGTGACTATGCATTCCGTCTCAATTCGTGTCAATCTCATTTATCCCTTCATGCTTTTCTATTAGTTACTGCCTTTCCACTGAAGCGCATCCCTTTGTGCCAAAAAAAACCTGCAAAATACACCATATGATTGGAAATATGAGTTTCTTTCAGTTACTCCCTCATTCATCATCTAAAAAACTAAAATTTAATTTAAGTGCTGATGGGGCAGAAGTTTGTGCAGATTTTTTTCTCCATACTGAAGTCACTTAGCCATTAATGACTGACATCTATGATGTTCTAAAGGTGGAACTGCTTTTCAGTCTTGTCAATCTATAAACTGTCCTGTAATAATCCTGTAATTAATTCAATAATCCTGTAATTAATTCAATAATCCTGTGAAAAGATGCGATTAATCAGAAAAAAATCAGAAAAATTATTCTTCTTGTTCCATCTGTAATTTTAGGAAACAGATTATCATGATTTATAGAATTAAATTAAGACGTAATTTACTTATCTATCACAGAAAAATTGATTCCACCAATAATAATCTTTCTCACAACAGCTACAATACAAGCTAGTGGAGAATCTAAAATAAATAAACCCAATACAATTATTAAACAAATGTTAACATATATGGGATTTATAAAAAAATTAAACTTAATAGGTAAGATAATATTTGTAGCCCAAAAAGTTGCCGCATTAAAAACTACAGAAAAAGGAATAGTATTCAACATAGAGAACATAGGTGCAGGAACATAGGAACATTTCAACATAGGTTCATTCATAGAGTTGCAGTGTGACATCTTGTCAATGATAATAGGCAGTATGTTCTGGCCTTAACAGATGCTAATTTATGTAATTTAAGGCTGTTTCTGCTTTCTTGAGCAATAAATGGAGAGAGAACATTACTAGTGCTACTGTCTCAAAGTTTAAAACCCACTTTTAGCACTTGTCACCAGGAAACGCTGGTTGTCCTCTTTGAGTCAGTGGGTTTTCTGCCTCCGAAGAATGATAAATCATTGACCCATTATCGGAAGTGATTTTATCAATTAGTTTAGTAAAAAAAGGGATTCCCAGTTTTAAACTCGAAGATAAATAATTTACTAATTTAATATACCCTCTTTGTGATTATTTTCCTCCAACACATCTTGGAGACTGATTTCTTTCTAGAATTTTTTTCATATGCTGACTAAGCAAAACCAAGAAACATTGGAAGAAGTATAGGGTGGTTGTCATTGAGAAAAAGAAAACCAATTTCTCAACTTCAGGAAAATGGTACGTCGCTGAAAACTCATCGTTTTGCCTTCAGAAAGGAGGGAGGGAGTACCGTTTTGAAAGTGATTGGATAAAATATGTTTTTTCATCTTTAAGTTCCTTAAAAATTATTTAATTAATTAGATACAATTTCCAAGCTGTAGCAACTTTTCAATGGGGGAAGAATGCAATTTCTCAATTTATAAATTTCCCTGTTGGTTATTGCAAGGTATCTACTGCACCACTTACATTGATTTGCCCAAAATTTGTTTTGGGTTCACATCCCTCCTGAAGCATCATATGGAAGGGAGGGGGAGGGGGTGTCATCCACTTGATTTTCAAAAAGAAAAAAAATAAGAAACATCCTACTTCATATACACAACAGCCGTTACTTCTTTGAGAGGCAACTGAAACTGTTTTCTTGTGTGCTGTTTAAGGGGGCAGTTGGTCATGTTCAATAGTTGGACGATGACATTTCCACACTTCATCTACGGATAGTTTCTAGTGTTCATCTTCACTCAACAATAAAAGGGAATAATGACAAAGATACGTACCCTGCCTTGGCGAAACGATGCGTACGATTCTAGGATTTGAATCACTTGCTCGACTGATCCTCCTGGAAAAAAAAATATTCTTTACTTACGGGCGGAAAAGTTATATTATTTACTACCTTCATTTTAACTGGATTGTGGTAAAGTTCCGCTAAAGGGCTCATTCAACTTTTCAATTTTTTGCCATTTTTGACGATTTATTCTCGTCACTCTTTCTCGATAATTATGCAACAGAGGAGAATATTACAGTACATCTTTTCAAAAATGCACGCTGTTTGTAGGTTAACTCAAGTTTTACATGAGAAAATTTGAAAGAATCTCCTAAAAACTGGCCAAAAATGGCAACAATGGACCAAAATACCCCTCACATTTCACTGGACATCATTTAATTTTAAAGGCAAAATATGGATCGTCTCAAAAAATACATCCGTGTCACCTCTCAACAGAGTGATAGTAATCGAAAAAGTGTAAGAAAATAAATTCGTGTTTTTCCAAGAATTGGGTTTTAGGGACTGCTGCTTCCTTCTATTGGCTCTGCTCAGTGAAATATTTGGCGTGCAGTCTACCTGGGCCTATAACTTTGGAAATGAGAATTGTGTAGCAAAACCCAGGCGCAGGCAGGTAATGTCCTTAACGCTACGCATTATACAAATCTGCAGTTGTCCCTGAATAAGATAAACGTTCAGAAGGCTATCTTTTTCTTCTATTGGCTTATTGACTTATATTCCTTATGTGAAACCAACAGCCATCTATACACAAAATTTCATATTTGATATTATAAGAAATGTAGGGGTAAGGAAATGTTTTATAGATAGAGTAATTTGTTTGTTGAAGCCGTCACCATTTTCACGCCTAGAGACCCTTCTAGGCGACTTCCTATACCGGGATATACTGGGTCATGGAAAACATTCAAAGTGAACATATGGAAGATTTAGGATTTATATTCTTTCTCTTTTTTTTTTGGATTTTAAGATTTTGGAAGATTAGGATATTGACTACTAGCCTTTGGAAGTGGATATCGGACGGTTTTATTGAAGTATATGACTAAGAAATAAAAATTGTTAAAGTCTTCCTGTAAATATTTAAACACATTCCTAAAGCAACCACCACCCGCAGCGAACCAGGTGGTATTTACTCCTAAAAAATAACTAATACAGTCCGATATAGCTTATAATTCTAAGTATTTTTTTTTTTAATTTTTAATTTTTTTTTTTCTTAAAAAGATTTATATTATTGACTTTTAAAAAATTAGCAATGATTTAATATACCGGGTGCGGCAAAAGTCCCGGGACGGCTGTTTATTTTTTAAACGGCTACACGTAGAAAAACGAATTTTTGGGGGTGTTCTTGGGTCAAAGTAAGCTACTTTTTGGCACTCCCCAAAATTTGTTTGGGGGCCCCCCCAGGGGAGGGCGGGGGGCAACTTTTTTTTTTCAAATGGCAACCCCCCCTTTGTGATACCTCATTCAAAAGATAATAAAAAAAGAAAATTTTTGGCGCAAACCGCAGGTCAAAATGTTCATTTTTGACAAAATGGCGGCCGGTCAAAGTTCAAAATGGCGGAAATTTGGCATCTCCGTTGTTTATTGACGGATTGGTGTGAAACTCGGATTCCTATCGTTTTTCGAGATGAGAAAAACGATTCTGGCATTGGTTTTCCAGAAAAGTCAGTCCTTTTCAAAATGGCGGCGGTCAAAATGGCGGCCTCGAGCGGGAAGTGGATATTTAGGTTGCATATATCGTTGGATTTGCATGAAACTTGGTATCTGGGGGTATTTCGGCACGAGAAGAACGAATCTTTCATTGGATATCTGAAATTTTGACAAATTCCTAAATGGCGGCGGAAAAATGGCGGGAAATCAGTTTTACGGCTCTTTACCGATGGATT